TTGTCCCTAGGGAAACACTGTGAACAGCTCTTCGATGGGTGACAACCCACATCCATTTATTTATCATCACCTAGCTGTACTGATCACAGAACAAAACAAACCTCTTACGCCCAGGGCTCAGTGGACCTGAAGCTGAGGCATCTGTGCTCACACGCATTCCTGTTCCCTTTGTTATCTGCTCTTTATTTTTTAGAGCCAAGGCCTGCTTTCATTTGTCTGCACAAGTGGGCGATGTCTGAGTGCACTCTGGGATGGAAGTGTTCCCAGACATGGGCAACTGGGGGAAAGGTGAGGCCACTCTGCCCACTGTCTCCAGTGGCTACGTTTGCATCTGGCCTTTGGGGTTTGTTTTGTTTTTCGGCACATTGCCGATGCGCGTATTAACTGCACGGCTGCATTAGGTGGCTTTGGAATTTCTGCAGCCTCTTACTAGTAAGCAAGGCGTGTGCCTGTTAACCCTCCCGTGTGCTTCCCTGGCTGCCTTAAGATGAAACATGTGCTCACCTCCTGCAAGAAGTCTCCCACTTCTTTCACAGGAGCACTGTGAGCMTCTGGCCAGAAAGTATCTAGTGAAGTATCTCATCCCAGGAATCCATTAAAATTCTTTCTGAGGGGCCAGGCGTGGTGGTACATATCTGTAATCCCAGCAACTAGGGAGGCTGAGGTAGGAGGATTCAAAGCCAGCCTCAGAAACTTGGCGAGGCACTTAGCAATTCAGCAAGACCCTGTCTCTAAATAAAATACCAAAAGGGCTGGGGATGTGGCCCAATGGTTAAGTACCCCTGGGTTCAATTCCCAGTACCAAAAAAAAAATTTCTGAGGCTGGGCTTGTAGCTCAGTGGTAGAGCACTTGCCTGAAATGTGTGAGGCACTGGGTTCAATTCTCAGCACTGCATGTAAATAAATAAAATAAAGGTCCATCGACAACGAAAAAAAATATTTTAAGAAAAAAAATTCTTTCTGGATTTATCCACAAGGAGCCAGGTTTTGAAAGAACAGGATATGAATTACATGTTTAGAGGGTGTCATCGTCTGGGATTTCCTCCACACATCCCATTGGATCAACTTAAATGTCCACTTCAATTTCTTTAGACCACAGTTTTCCAATCTTAGCACTACTGATTCTTTTTTTAAAAAATATTTATTTATTTTTTAGTTATTGGCGGAGGATCGAACCCGGGCCGCACGCATGCCAGGCTAGCGCGCTACCGCTTGAGCCACATCCCCAGCCCTGCACTACTGATTCTTAGTGCCAGATAATTTTTTGCTGTTGGAAGCTGTCCTGTGAATTATGGGATATTTCAGCAGTCTCCCTGGTCTCTGGCCCCTAGGTGCCAGTAGTATCCCCAGTTGTGACAACCAAAATATCTCTAGACATTTTGATTTGTCCCCTGAAGGGTCAAATCACCCCTGGCTGAGTTTGGCTATGGTGGTAGGTAGAAGGCAAGGGTGCCACAAGACATCCTATGATATACAGGACAGCCTCATGACAAAGACTTATGTGACCCAAAATGTCAGGAGTGCTAGGGCTGAGAAACCTCGCTCTGTTTAGCCAGGCTTCAGTCATTGCTTTGGTTTTTCAGCTGAACAAATTTCTAATTGATATACCCCTCATCAAGAGTTTCTCCCTGCTGGGCACAGCAGCACACACCAGCAATCCTGCAGCTCAGGAGGCTGAGGCAGGAGGATCTCGGGTTCAAAGCCAGTCTCAGCAACTTAGTGAGGCCCTAAGCAACTCAACAAGACCCTTTCTCTAAACAAAACAGAAAAAAGGTCTGGGGATGTGGCTCAATGGTTTAGTGGCCCTGGGTTCAATTCCCAGTACCCCCCCTCACCCAAAAGAGAGAGAGAGAGAGAGAGATTCTCCCTGTAAAAAGTAGAAAAGTCTTAAAGCAAGGCAGAGTAGAATCCTAGCTACTGGAGGCAGAAGCAGGAGGTCACAACTTGGGTACCTCGATAGGAGACTGTCTCTTAATTTAAAAAAAAAAAGTGATAAAGAGGGAAAATGTGCTCATCCTAAACGTGTGGACATTCAGAGCTTTGTAGAGACATAGACAGTCCCTTTAAGAGAAATTCATCGAAAAGGGGAGGCCCCGGGAGGATTGACCTACTGGATGCTCAGGTGGTAACGACATTGAACAACCTCCATGCTGACTCAACCTCCATGCTGACTCAACCTCCATGCTGACATTCCCCTTTGAGGGCTTCTGTGAAGAGTCTCCTCTTGGGGACTTCAGTGCCACACCCTTAGGGGAGTACACAGCAATAAAGGTGTTGTGCCCAGACCTCTAGGTGGGTGGTCTGTGCTCTGGTGAGGGAGGGCCCAGGGCTCCCCCTTCCTTGGTGGCCAGACACACAGACTGACCACAAGGTAGAAGATTTGTAACCAGAACCTTGTTGGGGGTCCTGGGACACGTGTATGCCACCCCTTCTCAACTCTGAGGGGTGAGGCTTCTCCACTGTTGGCAGTGCTGAGGATGGAACCCAGGCCTCCTGCATGCTAGGCAGGCGCTCCTCCGCTGGGTGCTGAATACCCTCCACCTCCTTTGATGGGTGCCATTCTGGAATTCCATACATTTGAAGGCCCTCAGAAGCAGCGTTTTTGTGAGTGGAAAACTCTTACCTGAATCTGGTTCTCTTGGGAGGTAGAAGGATAGGATTCCTTTTTCCAAACCAGAGACAGAAAAATCTCATCAGAGACAGAAACAGCTCAGGCCAGGCAAGGTGACACATGCCTATAATCCCAACAACTGGGGAGGCTGAGACAGGAGGGTTTCGAGTTCAAAGCCAGCCTCAGCAACAGTGAGGTGCTAAGCAACTCAGTGAGACCCTGTCTCTAAATAAAACACAAAATAAAGCTGGGGATGTGGCTCAGTGGTTGAGTGCCCCTGAGTTCAACCCCCCGTACCCCYCCCCCCTCAAAAAAAAAAAAAAACTCAGTGTGCTTTGGCCACTTTCCATTCTCAAAGCTACAGTGGCCAATAGTACTGCCCCAGTGGACCTGCATAGCCTGCTGGGTGGAGAGCTGGGCTTCTAGGATCTTTCTCTGCTTTCTGGAGAAACAAACTTGTGCTGCTTCAGGGTCTCAAGTCTGGAGCTTAGGAGAGTCCCAGAAGARTCCCAGGAGGGCCCTCCCCTCCCCTGTGGTGGGAAACTCATGGAGACACACAGCTCCCATGCACACATCTCAGAACCCTGTGGGAGAAATATTCCCCAGCCTTGGACTTAGGGTGACTGATGTCACAGGAAGATCTCCATATTGCAAAAAATTTCCTCCCTTGATACCATCCAGTCTCTGTGTCCTGATTTCCCAGTTGAATCRTGGCCCTCCACATGCTAATCCTCAAACCCGTAAATGTTACTTTATCTGAAGGGAAAAAAGGGGGGATTTTGCTGATGTGATTAAATTTAGTCTCCAGATGGGGAGATTTTCCTGGATTATCTGAGTGAACCAATGGCATCACGAGGATCCTTATGACRGGAATGTGAGAAGAGCCAGACAGACAGAAACGGGAACAAGATGGGATGCACAGCAGAGACTTCAGGAGAGACGCTCTCTGAAGATGGAGGAAGAGACCCCAAGCCAAGGAACACAGGTGCCAAGAGAAGCTGAACTGGTCAAGGAAGCCTTCAGAAAGAACCAGGCCTGCCCRAAACTTGACTTTAGTCCAGGGAAACTGAAATCAGAATTCTGTTCTCCACAACTGTATGCAAATGAGCATGTGTTGTGATTAGCCAGGAAGTTTGTAGTAATTTGTTACAGCAGCCATTGCACACTAATACACACCGCATGCATATTCATTTTTCACCACGTATTGAACAATTTAGGCATAATTGCTGAGCAGCTACTTTGTGCACACACTTCTCAAGGCATAATAAGGAAGGGTAAGAAAAGCAACTGCCATTGCCTGAGCCAGCATCGTTTGTTGTGATGAGCACTGTGCTTAGAGATCTTACCTACATGATCTCATTTAATCCAAATGAGAAACTGATGCTCAAATGGCCTCAAATAGCCTGCTCTAGGGCCCACAAGTGATTGGAACCCCAGGTCCAGGCCACACCTTTCCCAAAATACAGACTTCCTGAGGCTCATAAAGAAGCTGCAAACATGGCCCAGCACGGGCGTAGCAATGCCTGCTCACTGCCCTGCTGCTTCCTGGCCCTTTCTGCCCTTCCCTGGCGTAGAAGCTCCTTTTCCTCAACAATGGAGCACAGGTACTGAATGCCCACTATACGCCAGACACAGTGCTGGCCCGCGGGGACTCTAAGATGAGGGGGCTTCAAGAAGCTGCGCAGGGAAGGTCTCCTGTTAGGGCTTAAATCCACTCATACCATCTTCCCCTGCTCTCTCTCTTCTGTCTTTAACAGTATAGTGCCCAGGAATTCATACCAACCCCCACCCCATCGATCAGTGACCCAGGACATTGTTCCTGCAAAAGTCCCTCAGCTCCCACACCCCTAGGTGGGTAACTGTTCTTTTTTACACCAGATTAAGCGTGGGTTGCCCAGGCTGTCTGCTGGGGGAACTTGCTCGCTGATGCACGTGTCCTTTGTTAAAGGTTCCTCCTTCCCTGCCCCATCCCCCCCACCCCACTTCCTTTCTGCTTCCAGAGACCACCTCCTGGATAAACCACCTGCATCAAAGCCCCTGCCTCAGGCTCTGCTTTTGAAGAACCACCAGCCACGATGCTGCCCACACACGCATCATGATTTGTCCTGAACTGGCTCTGGGACAGAAAGTGTCCTCCTAGCCTTCAGGGTTTGTAAAGAAGAGGTGCCAACCAAAAGGACCTGGGAGTGGGCTCAACACATTGGCTTGAGATGCTGCCCAGGACTGATTCTAAGTCCTTCTAGAACCCTACATGTGGTCAAGATCACACTAGGGGCAATGATAAAAGGAGCAGTTTTCACATGTGCTGGGCAAGAACCACGCGTTCTATCATTCAGTTCTCATAATAACTCAGACTCAGAAATGTTCCAAGCGGAGGGCCAGGAAGCAGCAGAGCCGGATCAAATGCAGTTCATCTGAGGGAAAGCCTGGGATCCAAGTCATGGCATTATTCACTCCAAAAGGGCCGGGGCTCTGATGAGGAAGGCAGTTGTTACAGTTCCAGGCTTTTAATAGTCAATTATCAGCTTAGCATCTTTTTTTAACTGTGCTTCTGACACAGATTCACACCTGTGACCGGTGTGGACCCTGCCCAGCAGCCTCCACCCACGGTGGGTTTTAGACATTGAATCAGACGAAGCCCAAATTAACTGGGTATGTGCAGTACTGCAACAAACTACCTCCGGCTCTGCTTTGARAAAGCATTGATTATTGATCAAACCTAAGATGATTGATCTTTATGGCTAATGTTCATGTAGTATATATTATAAATGAGGATAACTAAATGCACCGAATTTAGAAGATAGCATTATAGCTTCATTTTAAGTGGCAAGATCTTATGACTTCTAAGTTACACTATGATGAGAAATAGTAGCAAAAAAAARAAGAAGAAGAAGAAGTCCAAGCACATCCTGGGCATTGGCACATCACTTCATTGAACCTCTTGACCTCCCTAGGAAGGGATGGTGACAGATACTCCAGAAGTCAATCAGCAGGTGCGTCTACAGGGCAGAGGGGGGCTGTGGAGGTTGATGATTCCAAAGCCCTTGCTTTCCACCATTGAGCTCTTTTGTCACTATTATTTCTAACTGTGGCTATAAAGCGGGCTCTTTTGGTCATTTCCTGACCATCCATCTGAGCCTGTATTTAAATAATCAGTTCTCCAAAGCAGTAGMGGGAAGCCGAATTCACTAAGTCTATCGCCAAGTTTTTTGACCACAGCGGGACACTGGTCATGGATGCATACGAGCCTGAACTATCCAGGCTCCATGACAGTCTTGCCACAGAAAGAAAAATAAAATAGCCAATTCTAAAAGCAGCCCTCTTTCTGCTGGATCATGCTGAATTACTGGATGGGTGGGGGAAGAAACAGAACTTAAAATGGGTAAAGTAAGAAATGTTTAAAATGTCCCTTTTTTTGTCCTGAAATTTTAGTCTCTTCTGGAAAAATAGGATTTTCTAGCACAGATACGAGAAGTTGTAGCTCTTATTTCTAGCTGTAGCTTCCTTGGTCTGCTGATTGTGTTGTTTTGACTTGCTTTGGAAAAGCATTCTTGCTAAAAGCTGTATAATATAAACTTTTTTTTTGTACGTAGTAGTACTTTCTATAGTATAGCTTTATGCCATGCAGCATTTGAAGACTCAATTTTAAAAAATTGTTAACCTGTTTCTGACTTCATGTTAATTTCTRTTTCAACAACTGTTTCCTGAAGAATTCAGGATACAACTTCTTGTGTATGACAGCTTTCCTCACACACCATTTTTGTGGGTGTGTATATATCTGACTTGGGGAAACTACAAAAAACCCCACAAAATATAGCTTTTAAATTTGTCTAAAAAGACCTGCCTGTTAAACATTTTGTGTTCTTAATCAATTGAAGAAGCCAGTGGCATTTTTAATTTTATATTGTCTGTTTTCCCATAGTATATCCCTGTTGATTTGTTGGCGACCTTTATTAATTGCCATTTTCTAAAATTTTTTTCAATAAAAGGAAAGAAGATGTGAAAAAAAATTAAATAAATAAATAAATAATCAGTTCTCTTAAGTTGGAAACAGAGGCAGACTCAGAGCACCCACACAGGCCCTGGCCGGGCCCCAAGCAGCCTGCTTCCCATCCTGAGATCTGCAGGAGAGGGGGCGCTCCACCTGCTGGGGATGGCACTGCCCTGGAACTGTAAGGGACAGTGCCACCGTCAAGGTCAGGCTGGAGGAGAATGCCAGCTGACACCACATCAGTCTAGTGATCGAAGTAACGTCACCCATGGGGAGGCTTGTCAACATCACGTCCCCTGACACAGCCCACAGACAAGGCCACATCACTCCAGTGGGACTCTTACACAATGCACAGCCTCTGTCTCATCAGGAGAAAACATCAAACCAACTCAAAATGAGCTGTATCCAAGGCAAGGCAAGACTGAGAAACTGTGAGAGATCAGAGGACTCCGAGGAGACCTGGCAACGGATGGGAAGCAGCATTCTTCTGGGACCTGGGAACACAGAGTGAGATTCATGGGAGAAGCCAGCAAAGCCCACGTCGAGTCTGCAGTTTAGTAAACAGTGCTGTACCATGTGAATCGCACAGTTTGGATTGTTGTAGTCGGGTTATGTAAGAGGTTACCTCTAGTGCAAGCTGAGTGGAGGGCATGTGGGGACCTTCTGTACTATTTTCCCGTAAATTTTAAAATATTTCACTACAAAACTTTAAAAAAGAAAAAAAAAAGCCTTTAAAATAGGTGAGAAGAGAAAACAACAGACTGAAACTAGGCTGTCTAGGAAGGAACATGGCCTCAAGCCCTGCTTCTAACAGATGGGCAGATGATATATTTTAATTTATTTTTTTCTTTTTTTCCCCCCAGTACTGGCCATTGGCCTCAGGGGCACTTTACTACTGAGCTCTACTCCCACTCCTTTCTATTCTTTTCATTTTGAAATGGGGTCTTGCTAAATTGTGGAGGCTGGCCTACCTCCTCCTACCTCTGCCTCCCCAGTAGCTGGGATTACAGGCATGTGCCACCTAGCCAGCTAAACTTTTTCTTAATCTTTTTTTTTTTTTTTTAAGGCTTTCTTCTGGAAACTTAGAAAGGTCCTCCACAGACAGGGCTAAGAAACTTGACCCAGCAGGAAGGAGAGGTAACCAACCTAGCCCCCAGTTTACAGGCAGCCCAGGGGAGGAAGGCAGCCAGTGCCAGCAAAGATCTGAGCCTCACAGATCTGAATTGACTCTTAACCCCTCAACCCCAGGCTCCAGAGACCACCCCTCCTCCACAGTCCCACAAGCCCACTGCTGTCCCCCTGCATTCCTAGCCTAAGTCCTGCCTCAATTGAGACCCTCTTCATACCCATTTTACCCCGATTCCACCTGTGTTCAAGGGTGGGCAAGGAGGCGGAGGATGTTTGCCCTCCAGCTGCTTCCTGTGTCCTGCTAGTCCTTAGTCCCCAGCCATTTGTGGGAGTTTCCGGCCTCCCTTGCCTTGGGATAAATAGGGAGTCTCCCTGTACCTAGGACACAGGGTGCAGGCAGTACTGGGCGGTTTGCAACCTCGTTTCCCGGCTCCGGATTTGGGGGAGGCTCCGGGGAACGGCTTGTGCCCTGCCCTACCTCCACTGCCATGGTTCTCAGATTAATGGCTGAGCAACGCTCCCTTTCCTGGCCAGGCATTTCCGGGGGATGTTGCAAGGATTCGAGAATGAACATTTGGAAAGAACTCTTTGAACTCCTTCATAAATAAGTCTCCCAGCTGGAAACGCTGATGCCTTGTCGTGAGTCCTTGTAAAAGTCTCAAAGCACTTAAGGCTTAGTGTTTCTCCCCAGTCATGGTTATTAATTGCACATGTCACCAGGGGCTATCCCAGGCCTTTTCACTGCGCCAGGCTACGAGGTCCAGTTGTGGTACACATGAGCTGGTCCTGGGGAGCCCTGTGACTGCGTTGATGCAGGGAGACAAAGGTCACCTGTGACCTGGGCTGAGTTACTGGTTGAAAAGCAAATCAGCAGTGTGTGTGCATGTCCTGGAGGATGAAGTCACGGCAGGGGTCAGGGCTCCCACACACTGGACCTGGCCCAGGGAGGAACTCAATGATGTAAATGATGGCATCCCTTTTATCACAAGTTTGGGTTAGAAAAGCAGAAATAGATATCGATAATGCAAGGTTCTCTGTTTGGGTCATTTATAGCTTTAAAAAAATGTACAACTGAGACAGGGGCTAGGATCAGTTCCTAAAGTCAAGACTTTTCCTCACYGTTCTCTGCCTCCTGGATTTGGCACTTCCTTTCCAAATGGGCTTAGTGCCACGGCATTGAGGGGCTGAGCACAGGGAGTCCTGTTTAGAAGGTGTTCTGAGTATCGTCCCTCTCACCCGGGGCGCCACTGGGAACCGTAAACCACTTCTCAGAAGGGCATTTAYGGTTTGGCTCAATTTCTGAGAAAAGGTCAGGAGGCAGAGGAGGACTTACAACTGTGGGGAACAAGAGTAAATAAGTACAGAATAACAATTTTTGTTCTTGAGTTATTGTGGGGGGTGGGGAAAGCTCTGCGAGTAACTTGCCACCAGGTGGCGCTATTATCCTCTTACACAGCCCAAGGGTGTGTGGCCGCAGATTCGGTGTGGAGCGTTGGGTGTCATCTGTGTGGCATGTACATGTGAGTTTGTGGATACGTGTGCATGTAGTGTGGTGTGTGTGTGTGTGTGTGTGTGTGTGTG